TTGTGTGGGAGCCGACATGGATGTTATTCCACCATCCATGAAACCTATGTAGAAGCCAGGTGCGAATCCTATATGATGCTTTAGAGAGCAAGCATATTGTACGCATTTATATAGTTTTTTTATTATACATGCATTTCCGCTTGTATAGTCTTTTATATTTATTTTTATATTTTCTTTGAGTCTTTCCAGTTAAATTACCGAATTTTTCCTTCGGTTTGACCTATCTAGTTCTGGTCCTTCCGGATAACTAGATCGGTTCATTCTGTGGTTTTTAAACTTACATGTTTATTTATTTTGGGTACAGACTACGTATGGTCTGGCCTGACCCGTATTTTCGGTCGATTTTTGCATTTTTGTCTTTTCCACCAAATTCGCACAAACACATATGATTTGTTACAAGTAATTCACCAACATTCTTATTTCAATCAAAACATGAATCAAACGTCATTTAATCATGGGACACTCAAAACCCAAACCCCATGTCAATAGACTTCCGAATTAAACTCGAATTCACTCACCTTGAAATTTTTCTGCTCAATCTCTCGGTGATAATCCGTTTTCTGCACCATCGAGATTAACACTACCTATTTACAAGTTTTACGCTCTATCAGTACATATGTTCAAACATTATCATAAATGAGTTGGATGTAGTTAGTGTATAGGTCTCGGTTTCTTTTAGGAATCCTAGGTTTAGTTTTTAATTCAGATCCTTTCATTTAAAGAGAGTCGTTAGTATTGTATAAATAAGTTGGGAATTAAAATCTGAATTTTAAGGAGCTAACTTATATGATTCGATAACTAAGAGACATAAATCATCGTATTTTTCCTCCAATCAAGCCTGTTTCGTTTGATGTTTTGTTTAGCTTTGTAAATATTTGTTATCTCTTCCAAAACTATTGAGAATAGAAAAATTCGAGCATGCATATGGTCTTTGAAGAAAACCGAAAGTTTAAACCCCATAGAAAACTTCGATACTTTTCTAACCAAAGTTGGTTGTTAATTACGAGTTATTTCTAAGAATAGTTGAGCAAGGTTCATTTATTTTAGTCATGATTTGGGTTCTTTTCTAGTAAACAAACTTTTAGAATTTAAGTTCAAAATTTACTCATGTTAGTTGAGATTTTAATGAAGAGAACTTACTGTTTTGTTGATGAGAAGAAGAGACGACGATGTGATCATGTGAGAATTTCTTATGTTTTTTATTGTCTAAAAATTTCTTTCCGGATGAGTTGAAGGATGATTTTGGTCTGAAAGTGTTTAGTATTGGGAGAGAGATGTCGAGATGAAGAAGATGAAAATGGGATCGTTTGCATATAATGATTGCATAGAATTATTTAATTGGAAGACAATCAAATGGCGTTGAGTGGGTGTGTAGGTGTCATGTTTTAGGCTTAGGGTAGTATTATTATATCATCTCATTTTTAAATTCTCTTTACGTAGTGCACCACTTACAAATATATGAAGTGCTAATAAACGCACCATACAAAATGAGTGTATATATATATATATATGTATGTATGCAATTATGTGATTATATCGTTTGTCTCTATGTACGTACATTTATATTCATTTGCCATTCGTATCCTAATTTATTTATGTATAAATGTTTAATGCGTTATACATATATATATATATATACACTCATTTTGTATGGTGCGTTTATTAGCACTTCATATAATGCTTTTCTTGTTATTATATATATATATTTTTTTTTTTGGGTTAGAATTTATTTTATCCTAAATAATTCACATAATCACGTACACATTTTAGAATAGATATTTTATTCTTTGATTTATATTTTTATCGGAAAAGGTTTATAAAATAATGTTGGCCGTTGGGTTTTCAACTGTGTTAAAATCGACTTTCTTGCATTACAAGTATAGTCTAGCATTTAACAGAATTTCATTTTTATTTTATCTCTAACTTTTATTAAGCTTTAAATTTATTTCAAAATCTTATTCCAGAATTTTAGATCCTAATCCTCGGTCCTTTAGACTTTGATCACGGTTTTTCTGTCTTATTCCATATTTTCGGGAACGGGTTATTACACTAAGGATCCCAAATATCATGGAAAAACCAAACACATAGCCATAAGATATCATTTTGTAAGAGACGCAGTGGCACAGAAGGAAGTGGTCTTGAGATACATCCCGACTACCGAGATGGTAGCAGATCCGTTCACGAAGCCTATCGCTAGGGATTTGTTTATTAGACATGTTAGATCCCTAGGATTACGAAGGATGTGAACTATGTTTATGTATTCAGTTGACTTTATTGTATTGTACGATCAGTTTTTAATAAGGTATTATTGATGTCCATTCTGAGTCGTGAAAAGTACCACTAGTATAATGATTTGTATGTCCATAGGCTATGATTGGCTTTCTCATATGAGCAATCGCCTCTGACGCTCTGGGAGCGAGTAAAGATGAGACATGAATGAATTGGGTCATTGGGAGACGAACTCGATTTATTTCATTATATGTCGCCTTGGTAAGAACCTAGATGAGGCTTAGAGTTGTTTTGGAGCCGACATGGATGTTATTCCACCATCCATGAAACCTATGTAGAAGCCAGGTGCGAATCCTATATGATGCTTTAGAGAGCAAGCATATTGTGAGTTCGGGTTAGTCGCTTGAGTAGCAACTAGACTAGGACCTGTATGGTGTTGAGTGACGTACACTCCGTGAGGCAGAATCTCCACCATAGCATACATTTCATACTGTATGTGCTAGAGATATGACCAATCAAGTAAGTGAGTGAATGGATCCCTGCTTCATCACTGTGTGAGTACTTGATATCGTATATTGATTATACGAGTATACCCTTATGACTTTGACTATGCTACGAAGCGTAGAGTTGATGTTTGCTACTTTAGTGTGCTTCCTATGGTCACGAGTGATTCGATCTATTGGGGCATGTCTAGGAAAGCAGTCGACTCGAAACTAAGTAGTAGTAGGGCGAAAGGAAGGTAAAGTATTGTCATATCACTCATATGTGTTCACCGGCCGGCCAGTTATAATTTGTTGTGTACTTATCATAACTGGGAATACATATGGAGTAGTGGGAGTTAAGTATCGTCTTTATTTATTTTATTGAGGGGTCAAGGGATACTAGACTCGATGTGACAAAGTGAACCTAGGGTATAGAATACATCGTGTATTTATTTTCTTTTTCTTCTCCGAGGTTGATGTCTCCATTCTGGCCCTGTGTGGGTTTCTAGTTTGGAGCTCCCGCATGCAGGTGTATTCGGTGGTCACACGACCCATTTGCTAGTATGAACTCAGAACTGGTAAAAGTCATTACCTTTCACGGGTGAGTGGGAGATGACGGTTGAAACACCCGGTGAAAGGGTGTATGTGAGAAAAGACATAACCGTAGAATATAACCATTGTACCGATTGTGTCTCTTGCATAAACACCACTTGAATCCTATAAAAGTATAGGTTCTATATGACAAATGGATATACAGAAAACATCAGAAAAGAAAACATGAATTATCAGTTTTGGTGAGTAGCATCTGGGTTGTCAATCTGCGATTCCGACTCTGGTAGCCGGTTTTCGACCATCGTTCAGAGAATCTGAAGACTGTGATTTCAACCAAGGATAAGATCGACAAAATCGGTACGCGATTACACTTCTGTATTCTTACAAGTGGAGATCAACTCCTACACAAGTGGAAGACCGGATCCTTTCGCCAAGAATGATTGGCTCAACTGGTAAGTGGGTATGCGCAAAGAGTGCTCCACCCAGGTTCGAACTCCACCCTTGACAAATCACATATTATCAAAAAAAAAAGACTGGATCATTTCAGTTTTATTGGAGATGATGTTGGTCTGATGGTTTAATCAACATCTACTGGTTTCGATTTCTTGAACCGAACCGATCGAGAGATGCCGATAACCGGATGAGATGCATCATTTGGATATTATAAATTAAATCGAGGTTGAAGGAGAATATATTCCTACAAATGGAACCTACTATGATTGTTATATCAGTTAATAAATATAAATCAAATTGAATAAAATATAGCCGGATGATATATTTTTTATGAATATTTAATTAGAAATGAACAGTCAGAAAAATAAAAATCAATATTTGGAATAAAAGCTGGATTTTAATTAAGTCAAATAGAAATCAAACCTCAACGCAAAGGACAGAAGGTAAAACGTGGAAGCAAGATATAAACTTCAGCTCGATTGAAAAATTAAAATTTATCTAAAAATAAAATAAAATTTATTATTTTGTAATTTTTAGAAGATTTTATGCGCATGCAAGGAAAATGCAAATATATCCATTTATGACTTTCAAAATAATATATTTTAGATAGTACCATTTTTTGTTACTTGCAAATAATTTTTGTTATTTGCAATCTGAAATGCTTACGATTGGCCCATTTTCCACCAAAGCCCATAAAAATCCCATTATCTCTCACTTCTAATAAAATTAGAAAGTAAACTAAAAAAACAATTGATTATGTCATTTACTTTTAAAAAAAAAATCTTATATTTTAAAATAATATGGCGACAAATAAAGGGTTTTATTTAAATAAATTAACAAACAAACACACCTAGATGAATAATTAATTTAGTTTGCACGTTTTCTTTGTTGTTAGTTTGGTGTACTCTCGAAGAGGATATTTTACGTATTTAAAATGAGATTATATACAAACTATATATTTAAAAACAATAAAATAGCTAGACATAATGTTTTTTTTTCTTTCAAATGAATGTTGTAACATAAACTTTTTTTTTTTGATATATTGGGAACCCCGACCTCAGCGTAGTCCTTCGGGCTCGCTAATCCCTGGTCACAGCAGTGGCCTATGACGCAGTCTGTGGCGCAGTCGGTGGCTCGCTAACCAAGGGGTCACAGCGGTGGTCTTTTGGGCCTGCAACGCCGAGTAAACCCAAACCTACACGCACGAGCCTGCGACACACGTGTAGGTGGTAAATCAGCCGTAACTGACAGGCGACAGGTGAGAGTTTAAGAAGGCGGGAAAAGTCGAATCCCTGACCTCATGGTTTCCCGCCATGCTCCTTAACTAACTCACCTCGGGTTTCCCTTATTGTAACATAAACTTAATGTTACACAAAAGACAGCCACATGACGACGACACACGAGAAAAGAATGACATCTTTTCCCTCTTCGATGGGCCCTTATCAAAGACACTGAATCATGTCAAATAAATTCAAATTTCAAAAAGATACATTCATGAGAAAAATATAGTTCCATACGACGTTTCCTTGTTAGAATCTCAATGTTTTCTTGGTTAACTTGCTTATTATGCAATGATATTTGGAGAAATCGCAAAAAAAAAGTTTTATATTTTTTTTTAAGTCAACAAAAAAACTCTATATTTTTTTATTTACTAAATAAATCATGAACTATTTCTATTTACATAATATAAATTACTGTATTTTCAAATTATTAATCAATATATATCGATTTCGTAACAATAATGACTGACGAACTGACATGTCATTAACGGACGTACCAAATCATATTTATATCAGATAAATATATCACGTCATTAAAAATAAAATATTTAAAAATTAGTTAAAATTTTAAAATTTTAAAAATAAAATAAAATATACATACAAATCTTTTTCTATATATATAAAGATTTGTACATATTTTTAAAAGTTTTTAATTATTATTATTTTTCTATCATTTTTATTTTTTATTTTTAATTAATTTTTATATATTTTATTATTAATGACTTGGTATATTAATATAATGTGAATATAGTTTGACAAATTTGTTAATGATTCGTCAACGCATGTTATGAAAAAATGATATATTGATTAATAATATGAAAAAATGATATATTGATTAATAATATGAAAATAAGATAATTTATAAATCAAATAGAAATAATCCAGGATTTATTTAATAAGTAAAAAAGTATAAAAATTTTTATCTGAAAAAAATATAGAGTTTTTTTGACGATAATCCATAAATATTTTTATAAAGTTTAGGGTTTAATTTATAAGTTATACAAAAATTTATTTATTTATTTGATAATTTTAATATTGATGTATTTATTTTGATTTTTTATAAATCCGTATATTAATATATGATTTTCCAAAAAAAATAATATAAGATATAAAGAAAGATATGGGTTTATAATATATATATATATATATATGTATATATCATCCTTAAATTTTAAAAAATTCAAACACTTAAATATATTAGTCCTAAAAACTTAATTTCTTCTCCCATATTATATACTACACAAAAAATTTCTCGACCAAATCAAATAAAATTTTGATAGGCTTAACTATTTTAAAATTTTAACATTTTTGTTAAATAAGAAATAAAGACATCATGGAAATGTGTCGGCATAGTCCCTTGGACCACCCTTAGAGACATACCGTCCCAAAAGCACCCCATTTTGCAAACCATCTATTCGTTACATAACCGTGTGTATATATAATTACGAAAGGAATCTAATTTTATTTTATATTTAAATTCAAAGACCAATTATCCTTTTTTTTAAAAAAAAATATGCGAAAGTTTAATTAATCCTCCACCAGAACAAAAGCGTTAGCATTTCGCTCTAAGCCGCCAACATAAAATTATTTTATTGAAAAGAATCATATATATTCCCATGGACCGGCGACGCGGTTCTTTTCTTTCCCCACGGAGAAAATTTGTAATGGAAAATCTCTTTATTGATATTGTAATTATACCATGATGAGGCTTCGCTAATTCTCTCGCATGCATAGCTTGGTAGGGCCTCTTTCTTTAATGTCTTTATTTAAAAAAAATATATATCGATAAAGCTTACTCAATTGGAACATTATCAAAAATACCCTTATTTTGTTATTTTAACTTCCACATACATTTTTTCCGTTGTAACCATGTGATCTATATGACCCGAAATATAGTGTGGCCACATGTTGATCTCATTGCTTATAATGTTAAATTTATGATGTTTTAATCAAATGATTTAGTAAGATATATACGGTATAAACATAATGAATTAATGTGATCACCATAAAATGAAAATGTGATCACACGATATTTTAGATCACATGAGTCACATGATCATAGATGGAGAATGATATGTGTTAAAGTCAAAATAACACGATAAGGGTATTTTTGATATAATGCCTACTCAATTTCTCCATTTGTTTGTTATTTTCGTCTTAAGTTGAATAACCCAAAATATGATGGCTCAACTTGGAGATTTGCTCCTTTTCTTTGATAGTCCGAACTAGTATACGGGTAAAAAGGGATCGTCGGTGCAAATAAAATTAACAAAGATTGATTTTTTTAGTACCATTAGACCCTAGAGATAGAGAAATCAATGAATCGAATGCACCGTAACGAGAGAGATTCGAGGATTGTGTAGATATAAGACTGCACAATTAGAGATGGTTTAAAATAATTGATTGAACTAATCATACCAACGAAATACACATATCTTTTCGGCTATATGTTGCGAGATAACTCCAAAAATTAATCATGTCCGCTGTACAGTAATGTAATAATGAGTGATATATTGAAAAGTGTATATCGGTATGCATGATGATAAAATATATTGAAAAGTGTCGTCTTGGTGTGTTAATGTAGTTTCAATATTCGCTAATGATCTCCGGATGTTATATTTTCAATATAAATTCAAATTTTTATTTAAGAAAAGATATTTGTATGGATTTTATTTTTATTTTTTTATGAGATGTAGTTGAATCAAATTACAATGAAATTTCGGATTATAAACAAAGTTGAATAAAATAAAATAAAAATAGAAAAACCATATAAAAGCTTAGACAATTACGGGATTGTAATTCACGAAAAATAAGAATGCATGAAAGATCACTAAATGTTGTGTCCAGGCATATATAACACTAAATTAAGATTAATACTTCCGTGTGTATTAGTCATATTCATTTTTGAATTTCTATATTTGTTCTTATCAACAAGACAACATATATATATATTTATTTAGTCGAAATTGTATAATATACGATGAAACCTATAGATTCATTTTTTTTTAAAAAAATCTTTCGTTCGTGTTAAATTTGTTCATCAAATTTTTAAAATGCGATGTAATTATTAGTCAGCTCGGGTTGAATATTCCAATTCCGGTTTTGTTCCTTTCGGATTTTCGGTTAGATTATTAAATATTTAATTTCGGTTTTAGTTACCAAATATTCACTCGCCTTGGTAGTCTCGCTCATTCCCAACTTGTATTAATCAATATATATATATATATATATATATAATGTGTGATTTTAACTTAAGCGTTAGTTTCAACCGCTTTATTTTAGTTAGATTTACATATGTTTCTAATCTTTTATTAATTTGCTTATTATGATGTTGAATATTTTTTAGTTTTTGTAAGGAAATATCATAATTTTCTAAGTTATTCAATTTTTTTCTCTAATTTTAATATTTTTAGTCAAATTGTTTATATAAAAAGTTATCTTCTTTGTTTTTATTAAACACAATCATAATTTCATTTGAATGACGTTTATTTTAAAAATGCTTATTTAAATTAATTTTTTATATTATATTTAATAAAATTTAATTAAAAATTATAAATTTTGAAATTTAATTTTATATAAAAATAATATACAATATAAAACCTCTAAATAATTGAGGCGACCGTTTATGTTGTTTGATTTTTATTACCTTAATTATAATGTGGAATAATACCATTCTATATTAGCAAATTCAAACTAAATTTAGAATACAATAATATTATTGGTTCAAATATAATATTAATATCAATATTATTCGTACAAAAACTAGGGGTGAACATGAATCGGATATTCGGAGATTTTTGAGATATCCATATTTGTATCCGATCTACACAAATATTCGATTTAATATCTGTATCCGATTCGTAATTTTCAAATATCCGTAATTTCAGATATTCATAAAAATCACGGATATTTTCAGATATCTATATCCGATCTAAAATGTTATTAAAAAATTTAAATTTAAATTAAATAACAAATTCAAACGTAAATAAAATATATAATTTATTTAAGATAAATGATATTCACAAATTTAAAATTCATATTTAAACATTCCAAATCAACTAAAATACAAATACAATCATAATCTATCACATACATATATATTCAAAATTCTAAACATTAAAATAGTAAATCTTAATATCCAAAAGATTAAACATTATAAATCTAAATGCATATAAAATTTTTATTGAATCATAAAAAGTGTAAATATTAAGCATTTTAAATTTTCATACCAAATTATTTTTATATTTAATAATATTATTACAAAATATAGATCAGATCGAATATATCAGATAATTTAATTTTAATATCTGTATCTGACAAATATCTCCAAATAAATATCCGTATCCGATCTATAAACTCCAGATATCCGAATTTTCGGTTCGGATACGAATCAAATAACTGATCAATTCGGATTTTTTTGGATATTTTGACCACCCTATATAAACCGAAACAAAACAGTATATTCTAAACCCACTAATCCTATTCTGTTAACTGAAAACGATGACGTTTCATCTTCAGGGGACTCATTGTCCCCGGAGCACGACAACTGTCGCCGGGATAGACATGAGTCGTGACACGTGTCGCCTCTTCAGAGACTCATCCCTACATTGGTCACGTGTTCTCCAACTATCCCACACGTGTCCGATTTTCTCATGCCCCATTTGGAATTTTATCTCCCTCCCTCCGTGTAATTATAGCATATTTATCGCCTAGAAATCATTATTATCTTCTTAATAATTCGTTTTTTAAGAAACGTCTCGATTCGTTACCCCTAGAAAAATATAATAAGATTATCACAAATTAATATTACCCAAAAAATATTAAATGCAGAATTTTTTTTAATAGATACAACATCCAGAAAATTTATCAAAATATCAAATAATCTAAATATATATCTAACTTTTTAAAAATATAAAAATGTGACTTGAAAATATAATAAACTAAAATATAGAAATTCAGTCAGCTGTATGATATTATATTGTATTTGATAATTTTATTTTTTAAAGATTTGGTTTTTAGTTTTTCATTACATATTTTTGAAGGATTTAAATTTTATTTTCATCGAAACAGACAATATTTTAAACTTAAGTTTATAAAACAAATATTACAGCCAACAAAATTTAAAAAAAAAAACATTAAAAAATTATGGTCCAAAACCCTAGTATGCATAGCATACGAAGTACCATGACAGAACGTTCTATTACAGTGCAACTAATACACGTTTTCACAGCCGTAGATCTATCAGATTTACCACCGGTAATAATATCGTACGGTTAGAATTTGACGCATAAGCCGGTGAACGCAACAGTGGTTAGGATAAGGATCACAGTAAAAACCGTACTAACACCACAGAAAATATTTGTCCGTTACGAACGGGGATTTATCTTAAGTGATTTTCCCAAATTAGCCCTCGATGTGTGGTCTCATCAATGGACTGAACATTGTCGGTGCTCACCTGTAATTAAGGTTAATTTAGTAATTGAATAACTTATCTCCTCACTGGTTTTTCGCCAGTTGATATTGGGTATGGAGCGCGTGACATACACGCAGAAATTAAACCGGAGTAAATCGAAAATGAAATCGCATAAATTGAATCCAAATAAAATATTTTATAGAGCTATTTTTTTTTCCAAAATTCTAATCAAATGGAGACATTTCGAACCAAAAATAAAATTTAACGTAACTATTGGTATTGTAGAGAATTATATTTTGCATTATTACTTTACGAATATACAAATTCACCGCGTGGTTCAGTACAAACCGGAGTAAATGCAAACACAGCGACAATAACAAAAATAAATAATAATAATAATAATAATAATGTTTTAAACTTATTTAATGATGAGGGCGCGTGAAGGGTACGTAGATTTAAATTTAATTAACAAAAAATGAACAAAAAGATGAAAAAAAATGCCCGTATTAACTAAAAACGGGATTATAAAAAGGCAAATACATAAAATGAACGGTGCTGAAAAAGTTTCGATTTCATCCACTCGTTCGTTACGATTTCATCACAGTAAAATCGTAATCCCTTTAGCTAAAAAAAAACTATGAAAAAAAAATCCCAAAACCCAATTTTATTTCTTGTTTGGGTGTTGCACAAAAATTTCCAGATCCTCTTTGATTATTCTTTTATTGCTTTACAAATGCTTTGCCTTTGGGTTTTATTTGATTAGCGGAGTTGTTATTTCAAAAATGGTAATAAATTCTTTGCTATTACTCAAAATCATAATAACCCTTTTTCTTTAGGAGATTAGGGTTCTTAATTCTCGCGGTGAAATCCATAAATTCCTTTAAAGTCTCAAACTTTTTGCCCATAAAAAAAAAAGAGATTTTTTTTTTAAATGTTGGGGAAAAAAGGGAATACTAAAGGAAGAGACCGTCATCTCTCTCTCTCCCCTTCGTCTTGTTCCTCGATTTATTCTTGTGGATTTTTGTATATTCTTCGACACAAATTGGCTTAAATAAAAAAGGACGTGTTGAGCTGTTACCACTTTCTCTCTCTCATTTCATATTTTTCTGCTAATTACATCTTTTTAAAGTTTATTCTATCTATGTTTTCTCTGGTTTTCGGTTGCAAGCTTGTGATTCGACTGTAACCTAATCTGCGGCATTGTGCGTTTTCTTCAAATTCAAATGCGCACTCTACTCTCATTCATCTCCTCTTCTCGGGAACAGTTCTTCTTCCATCATTCTTCTCCCACTCCATTAACACGCGTCTGCTTCGTCTTCCTCCCCTCGGTGTTCTCGGTGGCAACGGGATTAGATTTGTAGCCATTTTTTTTTTCCTAATTTCCCTTCTGGGTTTTCTTGTCCGGCTCCTGATTCCATCTGGGTTCTCGTCCTTTTCCTCTCTTCATCTACATTTTCTCCGTGATTTCTCAGTTTTGATCTGGTGAAGCGAAGAAAAAAAATGGCACCTTCGTTTCAGTGGTGGGCTGAAGAGAATCGGAAGGGTATTCCAGTGGTGGTGAAGATGGAGAATCCGAACAACTGGTCAATGGTGGAGCTTGAGTCTCCCTCGGAGGAAGATTTCCTCGTCGGCGGTCACACTTCGCCGGTCGGAATCCGGGACAAAGCTCGGAACAAGAACGCTCGACAGCTTACGTGGGTCCTCCTCCTCAAAGCCCACCGAGCCGCAGGTTGTCTCACCTCTCTCGGCTCCGCATTGATCGCCCTCGGCGCTGCCGTCCGCCGCCGCGTCGCCGCCGGTCGCACCGACACCGAAGACACAGACCAGGATGTCTCCTCCTCCTCCTCCTCGCCGGATGCCGAAAACCCGACAGGGAAATCGAGGTTCTACTCTTGCATTAAGGTGTTCTTGTGGGTGTCTGTTCTTCTCCTCGCCTTCGAAGTCGCTGCTTACTTCAAGGGATGGCATTTCGGTGCTCCGAATCTGCAGCTTCAGTACATCTTCACGGTTTCGCCATTTGAATTCAAAGGATTCTTCGATTGGGTCTACACGAGATGGGTCCTGCTTCGAGTGGAGTATATCGCTCCTCCGCTTCAGTTCCTGGCCAATGTCTGCATCGTTCTGTTCCTCATCCAGAGCTTGGACAGGCTCATCCTCTGTCTCGGCTGTTTCTGGATCCGCTTCAAGAAGATCAAACCTGTCCCCAAATCAGACGCCGTCTCCGATCTCGAATCCGGCGAGAATGGGTTCTTCCCCATGGTCCTTGTCCAGATCCCCATGTGCAACGAGAAAGAGGTAAACTTTCCTCGATCCCACTACCTGAATCTTCCGAAAGCATCGAAATTTACAGTCTCTGGTTTCTCTCGTCGATTCCACGGCCCGAATCTGCCAAAATAATCGAAATTTACAGTCCCTGCTTTCTGGTTTTTCATTGTTCTCTTTTTGTGTAGGTTTATCAGCAATCCATTGCGGCTGTGTGTAGCTTAGACTGGCCAAAATCGAAACTTTTGATTCAGATTCTGGATGATTCCGACGATCCAGTGGCGCAGAGCTTGATCAAAGAGGAGGTCCAAAAATGGCAGGACGAAGGAGCTCGAATCGTGTATAGGCACCGTGAGATCAGAGAAGGCTACAAAGCTGGCAATCTCAAGTCTGCTATGAACTGCAGTTACGTCAAAGACTACGAATTCGTCGCCATCTTCGACGCCGATTTCCAGCCAACCCCTGATTTTCTCATCCGCACCATCCCTCATTTTAAGGTCAATTTCCGAAGTTGGATCCTAAATGATTAGAAATTTAGAAATCCGTTGCATTTATATGGAAATGAGCAGTGTTTAGGTAGTGGTTTTTGAAAGTTAGTCAAGTTACTGATAATGGAAAGCTGTCTTGGCTTAGTTACCATATTTGGATCTCTGTGGAAAGTCTCTGCCTTTCTTTACAATCTTAATTCATTCATCCATTTGAAGATACTTTATCCAATGCATAAGCTTATATTCTAATCCGGGTTTTCGTTTAATTCTCAGGATAATGAGGAGCTCGGGCTGGTTCAGGCGAGATGGTCCTTTGTGAACAAGGACGAGAACTTGTTGACGAGACTACAGCTCATAAACTTGGCATTTCACTTCGAGGTTGAACAGCAAGTGAACGGGGTGTTCTTGAATTTCTTCGGCTTCAATGGAACAGCCGGTGTCTGGAGGATTAAAGCGTTGGAAGAATCCGGCGGTTGGTTGGAGAGAACGACTGTCGAGGACATGGACATTGCTGTCCGAGCTCATCTTCACGGCTGGAAATTCATCTTTCTAAACGATGTTGAGGTATAACAATGCAAAATCCAAATGCTTTCTATGACGGGTATGATTCTCTGCTAATCCGATTCCGTGTTTTTCAGTGCCAATGTGAATTACCGGAATCGTATGAAGCTTACAGAAAACAGCAGCACAGATGGCACTCCGGACCAATGCAATTGTTTCGCCTTTGTTTGCCCGCTGTAATCAAATCCAAGGCAAGGCAAATATATTCGCTCGTTCTATGTAATAATATCCGATGAATCATTTGTTTTTTTGTCTATGGCCCTTTTGCAGATAAGCATATGGAAGAAATTCAATATGATCTTCCTCTTCTTCCTCCTCAGGAAACTGATCTTACCCTTCTACTCATTCACGCTCTTCTGCATAATCCTGCCGATGACGATGTTTGTCCCCGAGGCCGAGCTCCCTGCTTGGGTTGTGTGTTACATTCCGGCTACTATGTCGTTCCTCAACATCCTCCCTGCCCCGAAATCATTTCCCTTTATCGTCCCGTACCTTCTCTTTGAGAACACAATGTCAGTGACCAAGTTCAACGCCATGATCTCGGGTCTGTTTCAACTGGGAAGTGCTTACGAATGGGTAGTCACGAAGAAATCGGGACGTTCATCCGAGGGCGATCTCATGGCCTTAGTTGAGAAAGACCTGAAGGAACCGAGGCATCAAAGGGTTGCTTCGGTACCTGAGACGAGGGACGAAATCGAGAAGCAAGAGCTGAAAGCCGCCATGAACAAGAAGAAGAAGAAGAAGCACAATAGGATATACATGAAGGAGCTATCATTGGCATTCCTTCTCTTGACGGCTTCGGCTCGAAGTCTCTTATCTGCGCAAGGCGTCCATTTCTACTTCTTGTTGTTTCAGGGCATCTCCTTCTTGCTCGTGGGTCTTGATCTGATCGGAGAGCAAGTGGAGTGACATCATCATCATCATCACCGGAAGGTTTAATGGTTATAGGGTTTCTTAGGAGCGTGTAAAGTTCAAGACTTTGAATTATCTGCAAGAAATCTCAGAGAGATGGCATAGATTCGCTCTTTCACTGACCAAACAGCTCAGGAAAAGAAGAAATCTGTATGGAATCAAAGGACACACAATCACACATACACGTCCGTGGACCATCCTTGGATTCGCCTGAGGAGACAAATGGCGGATGGTTGTTTGTAAGGTAAAAACATCCTGATTCTTCTGTAAGAAAGATTCTTTTGTAAGAAAAGATCTGTTCAGATTCGACAGCGGCTCTTTAGTTAAAAAAACACACACTTTGCTCTGTTTCTTCATGAAGAACATGGAATTTGATGACACTGCTGTTCCAGGTTCTTCGTTGGAGTGATTCATATTAAGGGTATTTATGTAATAATAATACCAGGTTAATGATATGTTCGTATTGTAAACATTTTTACGGAATCAATATACAAAACTATTATATGGTCAGGAGGAAAACCCTAGCCGTCAACCCTCGTCACACATCTTCGACAAAAGCACCTTCTAGGCCCTTTGTCTGTCACTCGCACAAGTCAGACACCGCACACTCGCGAGCGAGCGTCCGCCGTTCTCTGTCCGTGGCTTCGGCCTCTTCACGGTCTCAGCCAATTTGTCAACCATTCATGCTGATGACATTCTGCGTGTGGATGTCGTTCCCCACGCAAATATGTTAGTATATAGACATTCTGCAGCCAATTTGTCAATCCTCATCCGCTGCAGATATGTTAGTATATAGATAGAGTGTAGATATATAATATCAATTGTATTCCTCGAGAACAACAGAGAATTACAATTGTTTAGTAAGAGGCATATTTCTCTTCAATACACAAGATTTCAGATCTCAGATAATCCTCTATCCAAAATAAAAGCCAGCTCTTGGTTGCTCCCTTCTCCTTCTATGATAACAGATCTGGCCCCACCATGTCTTTTGCTCCTCTCTCTTCTCGCTTCTTCTTCTTCTTCCGGATATAAACCCGAAAGAGCTTAATAATACTCCCGTCCTAAGCCTCAGCTTGTTTTCAAATTGAATTTGAAGAAATTGCTCAGCAATCTAACCCGTCTGTTTCCTCGAAACCTCATGGCGAGGTATAATGGCGGATCCAGAAAAATTTATGAGTGGAGTCATAATTATTATATATAAAAGATCTATAAAAAAGTTAATAAAATATGTCAAAACAATGTTTATATTCTATTATTAAATTTTACTATTCTTCATTTTTTAAAATCTATATATAACAATTTAATTTATAATTATCTGAAATATACCTTTTTCGATAAAAACAAATTATATAATTATTCAAAAATTGATTATCAAAATGATTACGCAAAATTATTTTCACAAATTTATCATTAAAAATTTGTCTTTAATATATTTTTTAACATCAAGATGCTAAAATAAATCATGTAAATTAATTTGTTGAGAGAGAGATCTAACCTAATAATGTGATATATTATTGATTGAAATTTTACTATATTGATGCAAAGTTTTTTTTGTCTTAGAAAAAAAGTTTCTTTTTGAAATATTTATCAATTGGTTTTTCTATAAATCAAATATATGAATATATATATATATAAACAAATTTATAAATATGATCAAAATATAGAAATTGATGAATAAACAAAAAATATTATATTTGTGTTTTTTTAGAGAAGTGAAAGAGAAAATAAAAAATAGATAGAAAATAAGACTAAAAAATGATATTTTAAAACCTAATATTTAGATAAGCAAGAAATTAGAAAAAGAAAAAAAGAATGGGAGGGGGCCTAAGAAAAAATTTAACGGGGGCCTTCAACCTTTTTTATCAAAATTTTATAACAATTATAAGTAAATTAATTTTTTTCTCTAAATATATGGGGGCATGGGGCCCCACTCCCATACATGTGGGTCCGTCCATGGCGAGGTAGATCCAACCACAAAATTAGAACCTTGAGAGACCGGGTGGAACTAAGTGAAAATCCAATCATTCTCAAGCCCACTTGAGCTTGTAAAGGCAAAAAAACTGGCAATAAATTTCTGATATGCGTCGCGGACTACAGATTGTTGGCTAAATGGCTGCAGTTGAAGAAAACCCCCATCTCCGGGATTGTACTCTTGATCTCAGTGCGAAGCATCAGTGTCTTGCTTTATCCGATTCGGAGCTCGAGCAAAATTGGCGCGTAACTTCACCAGCATGGCATCATGATCTGTAAGCTCCCTCTCATGCTTGAAACTATCAGTGGCTCCTTGTTCAAAACGCAGTGGTATTGGTAGGTCTTTCTCATATACAATTGTGGAATCAGATTCCACTTCTTTCTACAATTGTTCAATCTGAGCATACCCGACCAGAAAGGCAGAAACTGCTCTACCCGCATCGATGAATGGAATTTTTTCTAAGACTCAGAGTGTAGAGAATTGAATTCCACAATATAACCTTCTTCATAATCCCACATATTTTTTCAGAAAAGAATTGAATGAAACCATGGATGAGTGTAGGAATGGATCCCTTTTAAGAGTCACTATCGTTTGATTGTAGGAATGGATCCCCTTTAATAGTCACTATCGTTTGATCGAAGTTGAAATGCATCTCCAATCGCTAAAAACCCATTTGAAATTGGCCCAATGTTCGCAGCCACTGGACGCCAAGAATAACATATGTGTTGCCTAATTCCAAGGACAGAAAGTCGACAAGCATTTCAAGATGATGCATACGCATTCGAACCCTGTGGCAAATCTCCCGTGTCTGAGCGGTGGAACATGTTCTCAATGACACCCTGTAGATCGCCATTGACGAAAGGTAAAGACCAATCGTATCCAAATCCACCATTGAGATGAAAGTATGAGTCAATCATGGGTCGATGAGAACAACCACTGACTTACCTTTGATAAACCCTTGAAGCTTCAATGTGGAAGGAGAATTGAGGCCACCCACAGAGTTTACGGAAAACATCGCGAGCTCCGATTGTTCTGCCACAGGTTCCTGTTCTGGTTATGGCTCCTCCTCAATCGGCAACATAATTCACCTTCATCCTTGACCAAAAATACCTATAGCTCTCGATTCTTGTAACGGTGGCCAAAGAAATACATTTCATCGCATCTGAAACACACTGTAACAACCCAGATTTAAAAAAAAAAAAAAAAAAAAAAACAATGAAAATGACCCCCGCGCACAAATCCGACCAGAAAACTCGACTTTTTGACCCTAACGCGTGATTAGGTCCCTCCTGGGTCCGGATTGCTGCTGAAAACTCGTCTAATCTCGACCATAAATCAACCCTTCTGCCCTCACTTGTTCTTCAACTTCGACCCAGAAATTCTCTCTAAAAATCTGAAGATTTACTCTCGATCCGGTCTCTACAGAACAAGGAGAGCATCACCAAGCTTCCCATCCGTCACCCATAGCACGGGCTTAACCCAAGGTGAGTGAATTCGAGTTTAATTCGGAAGTCTGTTAGACATGGGGTTTTGGGTTTTGAGTGATTTCGTGTGAAATTGATGCTTGATTCGTGTTCTGCATGTAATTTTATGAGTTTTAGTGTTATACCCATAGTGAACCATGCATGTTTATGTATTTTGGTGAAAATCCGAGGACCAGAACGTCCGGTCTGAGGTCAGACCGTCCGTTCTAGGTCTGTTGGAGAAATACAGAAGTCCAGAGGTTGAAGACGAAGTCCAGAACGTCCGTTCTAACACAGACCGTCCGTTCTGGACGACAGAACGTCCGTTCTGGTAAAACAGAACGTCCGTTCTGGATAAAATAGAACCAAACAGAACGTCCGTTCCAACCGACTGGACGGAACTGAAAAATTAACGGAACTGAAAAATTTCACCACGAGGAAAATTGAAAAATATGATAAGACGGGTCTAATATGACCCTGGTTAAAATTATGAAAAAGTGAAAAATATAAATTATACCGGAATTACGGGCCAGACCGGACCCCACGTAGTCTGGACCCAAAATGAAAACAGGTAAGGTTAGAAACCACGGAATGAACCGAACTGGTTATCCGGGCGGACCGGGACCAGCTAAGTCATACCGGAGGTACAATTCGGTAAACTCGATGAAGAGAATGAAAGAAAATATATAAAGAAATATAAAAGACTACACAAGCGGAATGCATGTATAGTAAATAAACTATATAAACGCATGTGATTGGGGTAGCTGGCATGGCACTAGCGTTAATTCGGAGGGGTTCGGATTAACGTTTAGCGCGTGATTGTAGAAACGGACGCTTGTGAATGATTATACGATGGTTGCGAGATTGCGTCCCATCTACGGGCCATCCGATCCGGGTCGGATGCCACCCGTATGGGATATGATTGTGAATGTGGCGATGATATAATCGCGCCAACGTCCGAATGACAGGTAGCGACGGAGCGGATTCCGGGAGATGAGTCTCCCGAGGATGAGGCAATACATATACCTGAGATTCGGGTGGATTGTGGTCCCCCGAGGAGGTGGTACGGACTTACTCTGCCAGGTTCGGGCCCGAACCTGACAAGTATTTCCGCGGCGGATGGTCGGCAAGGGAGAGTTGCAGCGATTGGCTCTCTCGTTATAGTCGACGGCGTCGGTTGTAGACGACGTCAGGTGAACTCCGGCATTGAGAGGTGACATCAATGCCGGAGCGGGGACACGCCTAGCATCGAGAGGTGACATCGTTGCTAGGGTGGGGTGACGTGTTCGGGCGGAGAAAATAAAAAGATACTTATGCCGGATTCCGAGTGGTTGAGGAGTAGATGGATTCCGAGGAGAGAGGTGGTTGTGCTATGCACATGGGGAGTACCTACCTACGCATGGTGCGCGTAGAGACGATTTGACGGACTCTGTCCTGCGACTTGTCGTACGGCCGACTTGTCGTGTGGACTTGATTGTGTTTGCTGCGTGCTTACTGTGATTTATGTGTTCAATTCCCGTTTATTAGAATATTAGTACATACACACATATATCTATATGTTTGTGCTTTCCCTGGCACCATGAGAATAGAACTCCGGGTTACGCCCGAGTTCACTCTCTAAGCAATTAGCTTAGGACGTTGTTACGCAACGTTTCAGGTCGTGAGCAGCAGTAGCCGAGGGGCGGACATCGAAGACTGTTGTGACCTACCGAGTGATCATGTATAATTATTCTCTACGGTACATTTACGTTTTCGGGGAACGGTTTGTGTTATATCGGTGGTAGACTTTTATGGTTTGTAATAATGTGATACTACCACTGTGTATGTATAATTATAACTGGAATAATGTACCGTATATGTATGTAAGAAAGTTTCTTCCGCTGAACTCTAAAAATAAAAGTTTTAAATTCCCGCGGATTTTTGGAAATGCGATTTTTTTTATT